TTATTAAAATGTCTGTGAATAGCAAGTAAAGCACTGCATTTCTGCCTACAAGAAGCGCACGCCCCTGGGCACTCATGTGGCCATAATTAAACCAACAATTAGGGAACATGAGGAAAGATTTTTTAATCGCCAACATTTCCATTCTCGAAATGTTATGATTGTAAAAACTTATTTTGATTAAATTTTTATTAACCAAATAACAATTTAGAGGATAATTTAGTTCTATCTTTTTTTTTGTATTTACAGAAATGGTATTCAGATTTAAAAATACTGTCAGTTGATGCATCTATAGGAGGAGCATCTCATAATAGCTTTGTTTGGAATCAAAGTCCTGAGAAACAACATTTAATTGATTTAAATAGTAATAATGTTATTTTACTAAGTTAATATTATTATGAATAAAGTCAAACATTATGCATTTTTAGTTTGTAAAAATATGTAACAATTAGGATTTTTAAATTCTAATAACTTGTGTTAGGATTTTAGTTTTTAAGGTAAATTTTATATGATGTTCTTTTATAATTTTATACTGCATTTATTCTGCTATTTCTAGTAAGATTGTATGTATTAATTTAATATACGAGTATGTTGTCAATATAAATGTCTTGGCCTTTAATGGTATATTTTATTTTAAGTATACAGTGACATTTAAATTTAAAAAAGTATTATAACTATAGTATACCTTTTAATTCGATTCCAGATTTGACAATTTCAGTGTTGCAACGTTGTGACAAGTACTAAATAGTGACGTTGCGAAAATATTCGATACGGAAATTGAATATTTCCGGATCGATTCCTCTCGTTTATAGTAGTATATCTAAACAACTACTACTTTAATAGAAACTAAGTATATCAGGAAATTAAATATTTCTGAACGGATAATTTACTTATGATGATTAATTTTATTAAGGATCTGAGAGTTTTCTTTAATAATTGTGTGTGGAATAAATAAAAAAATGTGATCATGAAAAAACATGAGAAATAAAACAAATAGATGTATTCTGGTAATATTTATTTTATAAATCGTCGCCGTCATCGCTATCGCTATCACTTTCTGTAACATTTATTATAGATGTGTCTGTGATATTGTCTAGCACACAACAACTTAAGTGGGTAGTTGAAAGCTCAACATATAACTTTAAAAGCTCTTATAAATAATTTGAAATAAAAATAGAATAGACATATTTTATATAAATTTAATGAATACAATAAAACCTCAATAATAAATACCTGCTAGTCAGTCAAAAACTAAAGTATTCAATTTTCAAAAATAAGAACTACACACAGCATCACTATGAGCGCTATACTTTTTGGCTAGTAGTCTTGTGCTTAATCGGACATCTGCAGGTTCGCACCGTACTAGTACAAATCGTACAACGTACTAGCACACAGTAATAGTACTATTAGTACAGTTTTAGTAGGAGTAGAAAACTTAAGCGTTTTGCATTGATATTACTAACATTAATGAAATGGAATACCAACTAATTTAAAAAAAGTGTTATAGAATTTTGGCAGACCGCGGTTTTTATTTTATTTTTTAATATAGATGGCTTTGTATTAATCAGTTACTTTCTTCAGTATAGGAATAATTACACAGTTCTTGATTATTTTTAATGTGTTATCCTTTTCTGAATCCCATAAAACTTAACAGTTTGACTTTAAATACGAATTTTTAGATTACTTCACATTAAACTTTTAAGCATACTATTTAATTTTCCTTCATACTTTACAACCCAATTGTCCCTTTTACTCTCATACTGTTTACCAATACGGAACAATAAAGCGGAGCATTAATAGTACGTCGCACAACAAACGAACGTAGACACTAGTAGACAGAGTATACAATAGGTAGTTTTTAGTACTGGCTTGAAGTTGACACTGTGTACTAATAGTGCAAAATGTCCGATTAACAGCTGCCTTTCGGCAACATTACTTTTAGTACAATACCCAGTAATAGTACCTATCAGTACATCGTACGTGTACTACCCAAGACTATTGGCTAGCTTTTGACTGGCAACCCTGACCAGCAGCTGATCCAAATTTTGTTCTTGTGATTTTAATTGTTTTATTCGCTTAAAATACAATATATATTAACTAATTTTCGATCCGTCACTGATAAGATAGGGTTAAAGATTGTTTATTCATAAATAATAGTGAAAATATGCGAATTTGTTAAGACTTAATATTTATACACACCTGTGACAGTTACCGGCAAGTGTAGGCAGAGGTATAATTTTTAAGATGTATAAGTGTTTACTGTGTTCTACTCAAACGTAAGTAGTTTCAAATATTTGCTACAGTCAAAAGTTCATGCAAATTGCCTATATGAACGTAAACATAACCTTAATCTAGTTCGGTGACGCAACTACTTTGCATAATTATTTTATCTTTTTCTGTCCACCTTCACTAAATTTTTCGTTTTAATTCCTATCGTATAACTTTCTCAATCCTTGATTATCACATTTCATTTCGATTTAATCAACTATGATGACACGCAGAGCTTTAGCTGCTCGCCAAGAGGAGTTCAAACTCCAATTGGCGTTGAGCAAGCTAAAGGAGTCTAAGCAGTTGTGTGACCAGCTGATTGCGGAAAGAGATGATAATGAGAAAGAATTACTAGGCCTAATTGAGAAAAATAAGCAGGTTAAGTTAGAACTAGCCTAGATTCATACACAATTGCACTGAAGCCATTGCTGCCCGGGATAGGCTTCAGCTCATTGTGGATGGGTTTCAGCCGGTGCAGTAGCTGAGTATGAGCATGCTCTAGATCGTGTAAAGCATTTAGAATGTCAATTGGATGAGTCAAACACTAAATTATTGCAGTTAGAAATGACTCAACTAAGCACCACCACTACGTTGAACCAAAGCCTCTTCGATGAGCCTGGTGACCAATGACCCAAATATGGTCACTGTCAAAACCCAAAGGGCCCCTTGGGTTAAACCCCCGATTTAAGTTATGAATAAATTTAAGTAGTTGGAAAACGAAACCCGACTTAGCACGTGGTCGCAGATCCAACCACTTCAGCGAGCTGAAAAATTTACTGAAGGTAGATACTGTCACACACATAATAAAACCGCTTTCAGATACAAATTTTGACAACCCACTGGGCAAAAAAATACATTTTTACCAAAACTTTGACCATCAATAACTTTTGATCAAGATCGACGAGATATAGTTTTTAAATTAAACCCTGTTTTGCGCTAGAGCCCTGAAGAAGACTGATTCAGTAAAAAAAATTCAATGTGAATCTATTTGTAAATATTTAATAAAAAGTGTAAAAAGCACAAAAACCTCAATAAAGGTGGTAAATTAACTAAAGAATTTCCAAATAAAAATTAGATCCTGTAGCTCATAAAAAGACAAAAATTTTGACACCAAATTTATAATTTTCGGTCGACTATTTTCAAAGATATTGAATTTTTTGTGTTTTATTTTCAATTTAATTAACAAAATATTAGCTATTAAATTATTTTTTAAGTTTAATACTGTTCTCTAGGCTATTTGACACCTATTAAGCCCAAACTCGGACCCCTCTAGGCACAAAATGGCCAAAGTGGACAAAATCTGGGCAAATTTTGTTTTTCGGGTGAAACTTTGGGATAAAATATCTTCGCAACCGGGTCTCGTGGGAGACTCGGGTTGTCACTTAAGTTAAAGGCAGGTGTTTCTTATTAAGGTTTTTGGGATTAAATTCAAAATTGGGACAAAAAAAAAATTATCTCATTAAATCTAGCATAATTTTGATAGAACACAAAATTTTAAGTACAATAAACCCAAACACTCTACGACAGGTACGACGGGTACTCTACGACAAATAGGGCCGGAGATATTGGATCGGAAAGTTTGACTTTGCCATTTCGGTCGCCATCTTGCTTATTTTTAAGTACACATAACTCTGCACTGGTTTATGCTAGAGCAGCGTTTTCTGCATTCCGCTTAGGAGACAAAGTAGTAGGCCTACTAGTGGGAAAAAAATCAAATTTTGGATAAAAAAATTTGGGGTTGAGTTCTCATCCGGAGCCGATAAAAGAAGTCGCGCTGAGGCCAAAAAAACACCAAACACGCCTATTGTGCGGTGTTGTGGAACGGGAGATATAGGTAATTAAAATTATACTTTGACAGCTCAGTCGCCATCTTGAAATTTTTTTATCGGCCAATAAACTCAGCCATTTTTGAAGATAGCGAGGCGAGTTCTCTCTATTGGAAAGTGCAAGACTTTGACCATCTTTTAGCGTGGGCAAAAACCTAAACTGTAGCTCAAAAATTTTACTCATAACTGTGGGCTTAGCGGGCTAGAAAAGAGCCTGACGATTGCGGGGACGTCCCTCTCGCCCTTGTGGGACGAATAGCGGCTGAGTGGTGTCAATCCAAAATTTTCTTGGAAATAGTGGAATTGATCTAACTCTTAGGCCGTTTGTCGTGGGTGGGTCGTGTTTGGAATCGTTGTAGTCGCCTGCTCAAGACCTACCTACTGAATACCTCAAAGTAGGCTTTGCGCACTCTTCCCCCTCCCGATATCAGTAAAATATACTTTTTAGTCGGAATTGCTCAATTGCTATTGCATCGACCACTAGTTTAGTTATTTTCTCCATATACTTTTTAGTCATAGGAGATAGATACGCAAGGTTCTCTGAAGTTTGATTCAACACGGCCGCGACATGTTAGCAACCACAAAAATTCGCTTACACTAACACATACACACACACATACACCCCTAACACTCCCTCGCACACACACACACACACACACACACACACACTCACACACACATATATACAAACATACGCTCACACGCAGATACACACTCTAATAAACCTTTATACACCACAATACCATACACATATTTTGGACGAGTGCCTTTCTAGTAGCAAATCGGCTAATAGACAAATTGACAGACTGCGACTCTACCTATACATAGAGTCCCAGCATATCATATTAAATTAACTTGGCTGTTTTATTGCTATATTAATTTTACTAGTGACGCCTATCCCTAGCCAAAATGTTTTCACATAGAACCCCTCCGACCGAGTCTACGAGGATCGCGGGAGAGAGCGGAGGTTCTAAACTGGTGAGCACATTAGTTACATCAAACACCATAACCAAGCCACCCACACAGAAGCCATCAGATCCGGTACCATCCCGTGGCACTAACTCTCCTAGTGAGAAGGGCTCGCAGAGCTCGCCCCCTCCACACCCACAGACTAAAACCAAATTAGAACTTGCCAGAGCCTATGTAATAATAGTGAAGCGAAACATCTCCCTGTCGAGAAATTTGAAGTCTGAAATCAAGGCAGAGGTACTCGAAGCAATCGACTAATTACATCAGGTAGTCAAATCCTTAGATAAGGAACTAAAGAGTGTTAAGGGAAAGGATAACAAGGAATCAGGGAAGGAGGGGCCTTCCCACCCGGTGTATCCAAATCTTTTTGTGGGGGCAACGGGTGTGAGGGCCACTCGATGGGAAACAAGATCTTAGAAAAGCTGGAAGAACACAGTTTACTTTTAAAAGATAATGGCAAAACCTGGAACTGCTGAGGAGTAGTGTGGAAACGCTGAGGGCATCATACGCGAGCGAAGTGGCTGCACCGACCAAGGGCCCGACCTCTATAAAAACAGCGCTGCACTCAGTCATTGTCACATCAAAGGAGGAGGAGGACACCGGGGATCTGGTTTTGGAAAAAATTAGAAGAGTAGTAAATGCAAAAGAGGGAGGCATCGAAATTGAAAAAGTGCGCAAGGGCCGCGATAGGAAAATTATATTGGATGTCGAACAATAGAGGAAAGGAATAAAATAAAGGCAAGAATTAGAAAATGCAGGTGGGCACCTTCTCGTCGAGGATGCGAAGAACAAGGACCCTATGCTGGTCCTGAGGGGAGTGCTGAGCATCCATACGGACGAGGATATTCTCATGGCCTTTAAGAACCAGAATGGAGACGTTTTTTCGCGGCCTAGACGAGAGGGACTCAAGGGTCATAATCAAGTATAAGAGACGGGCTCGCAACCCGCACACCAACCATGTTATCATAGCCACATCTCCGCTGATCTGGTCTAAGGCTCTCGCGAAAGGGCGGCTTTTTATTGACATGCAGTCAATAATGGTAGAGGACCAGTAACCGCTGGTGCAGTGCACGCGCTGCCTAGGCTTTGGGCATAGCCGACGTCTCTGCAAGGAAACGATTGACTCATGTAGCCATTGCGGGGGCCCGCACATGAGGGCTGAGTGCCAGCGCTGGCTGGATGCGGAGGAACCCCAGTGCCGCAACTGCGTGAGAGCTAAAGCCAATGATTGTGCACACAACGCCTTCAGCGGCATATGTTCTACTTGAGGGCGATGGGACGAAATAGCAAGGGCCTCGGTTGCCTATTGCTAAGAGCAAGACTGTGGGGGGAACCCCCTACAAGATACTCCAGGAGAACCTGCAAAGGATAAAGTTGGCAACCACCGAGCTGATGATTGAAGCAGTCAAAAGACAGGCGTTTAATCGCCTTGATTCAAGAGCCGTATGTGGGAGGGGCAAAAAATATGAGTGGCATACGTGGCGTTAGAATATTTCAGAACTCTAGGCACTAGGTGCTGTGATTGTAATTTAATTACTCGTATAAGTTAAGGTATTAACGTTTTCTTTCATGTTGATTTTTTGTTTAGTTTAATAGAAGCTACTTTTGTTTATAAGTTCTAAGTAACCATCCAAAAATGGTGCTGTCATTATAATTATGATTGAAAGTTTTATAATTAATTTGATACTTTTATTTGAGAGGAATACCACTGAATTTCTTGACGTTATTGGAACCAAATAATATGAGAAAACGTACGTTAATGTAAATTTCTCTACAACCCGAGAAGCCTCGAGAATTCTCGAGACCCGAGAAATTGAAAAGCTCGTGAAATAATGAATCCTATTCGTGATACACGAGCGCTACCCTGATGCAGCTCCAGGGCAGAGTGTTGAACGCGTTGGCGATGTCCAAGGAAACCGCCAACAAAACTTCGCCCCGGGAAACTGCTTCATCCGCCAGAGCCTTGACGGAAACCGTAACGCCAGATCCGGCCCCACCATCACGAGATGCTTGACGAGGCGCCCTGCAATCACTCTTTCAAAGAGCTTGCACACCTCGTCAAGCAACACTATGGGCCGGTAGGCGGACGGTAAGTCCGCCGGGCGGCCCTCCTTTCGGATGAGGACCAGTTTCCCCGTCTTCCACAATTTCGGAGGCATACGCCATCTGTGGCGGAGTATGCTCCACCACTCGCGTTGGGAACAGGGAGCCAACGACCCCTTCAAGCAGCTCTGGCTGAAGACACCGGGTGAGCGGCGGGGCCCATGGGCGCATCTTGCCCCTAACCATACGGTAGGGGCATCCCCACAGATCCCGCTCCAGTGTCTCCAGCATCTCGCGGCGGGCCTCACTCTTACCGCATTCTCGGGGCGGCGACGCCTCCTGCGGAACCTGGACCACCGGCGGCGCGCGGTCACGCAGGCTTGACGCAGCCGTGCATCTCCGGCGACCACCAGTAGACCCGCAGCATTGGCCCCCCCGGCGCCTCGCAGTATTGGGCTGAGCCCTAGGCATCGCCGCATCGCAGACGCGGGTCATGGCCTCCCGGAACAACTGTGCCTCAGCATCGACGTCGGACAGGCCTGTCCGGCCCAGGTGCCCAGGCCTGTGCGATGGCGGCTTCCAGGAGGAGGTCGCGATCTAAGCGCTTGAGCGCCCAACGTGGTTCAGGTGGTGCCGGTCTGACCGGTGCGCCATCTGTAGGGGCGGAGACGTCAAACCGAATATATCGGTGATCCGAACCTGTCTCCTCCCCGACAACGACGCGCCAGTCTTGGACACGACGCGCTAGCGAGGGGCCATGCGAACGAGATGTCCACTATCGAACTACAGTTTAGGAGAACTAGGCCGAATCTTTCAGCCCAGTTCTCCAATGGCCTGCCCCTCGGGTTCGTGCGCAGGGAACCCCAAGCCCGAGACCAGGCGTTGAAGTCCCCCAGCACAAGAACCGGGTGGGGCGACAGGCATCGACGACGACGGCCAGCTGAGCGAGCCATTGCTCGTAGTCAGTTATGTTTCGGTTCGGCGTGAAATAAGCGGCCACGACCGCTATATCCCCAACCATCGCCGCTACGCAGCCCCGTCCCCTTGCAACCACTGCAAGAGGTGTAGTGCCGGCTGCGGTACCGTGCACCAGTGCCGCCGTGCCGTACAAGTTGGTCTCCCAGGCAGGCCCGAGAAACCGATCGACATATGCCTCGGCGACAGCGGCGATGTTGATGAAACACTGTGCCATGCTCTGGAGCAGAAGATCCTGAGCATCGGCACCGTGGCCTACGTTCACCTGGAGGATGCGGAGATGTGAATCCATCACTGGACTTCCATCCCCGCATCCCGCAGCAAACTTTGCCGCTCTCCAGCGGCACCCCCCGTCTGGATCAGCAGCCCAGAGGCGGAAGGTCGGCCCTCCTGGCTTCGGTCCCGATAGGGCACAGGCCTTACCACCAACCCGGTGGTCGGCAAGCTTTGCCTCCCGCTGCGCACCTTTTTTTTTTAATTTTTAATTTTTAATAGACATACATTATTCACACATAACTCACAATCAAATAACATTTTTCAAATCAACGGAACTCAGTAATAAACTGTTAAATGTACACACTTTCAAATAAAACTATAATTATACTGGCGGATAGAAATTAGTAAACAATGCTTATCACATGAAAAATCAAAATGGCCCCCTTGAACAAGAAACATATCTGCTAATTAAACAAATAAAACCTTACCATATTCAAAATTCATAATCCGCATACATTATTTATTATATTTCTGACTATTGTAATTGGGTGGATTTATAGGCAACGAACACTTCCAATTACACCCGAGTACTCACGACAACAATTAGCGCGGGACCCGAAGGGCCAACTGCAGTATCCTGCGGCTGTAGTCGGGGCCTGTCGGGATATAAAATAAATGGGTGTGTGCGTTTGCGAACTGTGCACGGACACCAAAATTACTACACACATGCGAACAAATGTCCTGCGCGAGGCGACGGCATGAGTTGCTTTGCGCTTGCTTTTCGGTAAACACCTGGCAAACAATGTTTGTGTGGTGCTATTTGTAAATAGTAGGCGTTTTTAAGTTATTATATTTTGTTTTTTCATTATTTACTATTAATTAAAGTCATCTAAAACGTACCAACGTTTTATTAAAATGTCTGTGAATAGCAAGTAAAGCACTGCATTTCTGCCTACAAGAAGCGCACGCCCCTGGGCACTCATGTGGCCATAATTAAACCAACAATTAGGGAACATGAGGAAAGATTTTTTAATCGCCAACATTTCCATTCTCGAAATGTTATGATTGTAAAAACTTATTTTGATTAAATTTTTATTAACCAAATAACAATTTAGAGGATAATTTAGTTCTATCTTTTTTTTTGTATTTACAGAAATGGTATTCAGATTTAAAAATACTGTCAGTTGATGCATCTATAGGAGGAGCATCTCATAATAGCTTTGTTTGGAATCAAAGTCCTGAGAAACAACATTTAATTGATTTAAATAGTAATAATGTTATTTTACTAAGTTAATATTATTATGAATAAAGTCAAACATTATGCATTTTTAGTTTGTAAAAATATGTAACAATTAGGATTTTTAAATTCTAATAACTTGTGTTAGGATTTTAGTTTTTAAGGTAAATTTTATATGATGTTCTTTTATAATTTTATACTGCATTTATTCTGCTATTTCTAGTAAGATTGTATGTATTAATTTAATATACGAGTATGTTTGTCAATATAAATGTCTTGGCCTTTAATGGTATATTTTATTTTAAGTATACAGTGACATTTAAATTTAAAAAAGTATTATAACTATAGTATACCTTTTAATTCGATTCCAGATTTGACAATTTCAGTGTTGCAACGTTGTGACAAGTACTAAATAGTGACGTTGCGAAAATATTCGATACGGAAATTGAATATTTCCGGATCGATTCCTCTCGTTTATAGTAGTATATCTAAACAACTACTACTTTAATAGAAACTAAGTATATCAGGAAATTAAATATTTCTGAACGGATAATTTACTTATGATGATTAATTTTATTAAGGATCTGAGAGTTTTCTTTAATAATTGTGTGTGGAATAAATAAAAAAATGTGATCATGAAAAAACATGAGAAATAAAACAAATAGATGTATTCTGGTAATATTTATTTTATAAATCGTCGCCGTCATCGCTATCGCTATCACTTTCTGTAACATTTATTATAGATGTGTCTGTGATATTGTCTAGCACACAACAACTTAAGTGGGTA